TTAAACTAACCTTTCATTCTAAAATAAACTCAATTCAGTCACCATCACAATGAGTAACTCTTTGGGTATATTGTTACTATCTATGATCTTTTTATTCAAAAATTCTACATCAATGTTAAAAAGTGACACTGAACCATAATCTTATGTTTTAGAATTAAGCCCATATTATAAAGAACGCATTTGACTATCATATCATCTTGTTCTATGATACAGAAACATTGAGTTCTTCAAAGTTTGATGTTTTTTTCCCTATCAAATCCTTTATTCCAGCTGCTTTTTTCAGAAATGAGAACTTTTTTCATCTTTAATCACACTAATTATGAAAGACAATATTGATTTTGTTAATTTTTCTCTTTTGGTAGCACTGAACCCAGAGCCCCATTGACACCAGGCGAGTGCTCTACCACTAAGCTGCATCTTCAGCCCCAGTTTTGGTAATCTTTTTTTTGGTGCTGGCGATCAATCAAGCATGCGAGGCAAGCACCAATGCATATCCCCAGCCCTGCAGTTTTGGTTATCTTTTAAAAGAACCAAATCTTGGGTGGTGCACACCTGTAATCCCAACAACTTGGAAGGCTAAGCAGAAGGATCACAAGTTCATGACCAGCCTTAGCAACTTAGCAAGACCTTGTCTCAAAATAAAAAATATAGCTCAGTTGGTAGAGTGATTCCCTTGAATGCACAAGGCCTTGGGTTCAATTCCCAGTGCCACAAAAATAAATAGATAGATAGATAGATAGGACTAGAGATATAGCTCAGTCTTAAAGAACCCATGGGTTCAATTCCCAGTCCCTTTATTATTAATACTACTAATAAAATGGGCTGGGGTTGTGGATCAGTGATAGATCGCGTGCCTAGCATGTGTGAGGTTATATAAATAAATAAAACAAAGGTCCATCAACAACTAAAAACATTTAAAAATTTAAAAAAATAGGAAAACCAAATGTTGATTTTATTTATCAGTTATAAGGTTTTATTTTTTAGTTTTTTTTTTTTGGGGGGGGGGCTTAAGTTTTGAGAGGAAGGAGAGTATCTAATTGTCTTTAAAACATGATAATGCCCTGAGGGCTTTCCTCAAGGAGAAAATTGGAATGTTTCCTTTTTTTTTTTTTTTTAACTAATTTATTTATTTTTATTTGTTCTACTTAGTTGTACATGACAGCAGAATGCATTTCGATTAATCTTACACAAATGGAGCACAACATTTCAATTCTCTGGTTGTACACGACATAGAGACACCATTTGTGCAATCATCCATGTACCTACAGTAATAATGTCCTTCTCATTCCACCATCTTTCCTACCCTCATGACCCCCCCACTTTTATTTTTTAGTTTATTTTTATGATATTTTATTATTTAATTTGTTCTTTTAGTTTATTTTTTGCAACATAATTGTAGTTTTTTATTTAAGTACTTAAAATTTCTTAAAACTGAATAAATGGCATTACATTACTTAATAGTCTTTTATGGTATACTATGTATTTTAAGATATTCTATATATTTTCTCCCTAATTCAGTTGCCATTAATTCTAATATTTAATAATTATCTTTTTAAATAGGTAGCACATGCCCACAGTAAACAGCTCAACCTCCACAGTGAGAAACACCCCCTTCAACTCTACTCCCCACTCCAGGCCTTATCCCAAAAGGAGACAATTACAACCAGCACCTTTCAAGAAATTTCATATATTTATGTTTGTGTGAAAGAAAAGTCTAGGGTTTTTTTCATTCACACAAACAAGAACAAGTTATACACACCCACGGTGCCTCAAATATAAACCTACATAAGAAAGTTTATCACAATTTTAACACGGATAACTACTTTTTGATTATGCTTTTATTCCTAATTTCATTATGCTCCATGCAAGAAGTTTTATGAAATTCCTATGTTTTTGTATTTATTAGAGTGTACACTGTGACACAGTAAATGATCAATTTTTATGAAAGAGTGCACAAATATTTTTACAATATATTTCTCTGGCTTTTTCGTTTTATTTTCTTCAAATCTATTCTTTTACTAGTTATGCGATTTAAAACTACTATATAACTTTTCTTGGTATGCTTGCTCTTTTATGATGGTGGAAAAACAACTTTACTGAGATGCCTCAAAAAAGTAGGGATGGAACCACCATAAGACTCGGCTTGGTATTTTCCCCAAAGATCTAAAATTGGGATACTACAGCGATAACAGCCACCGTATCAACGTTTATAGTACAACGATTCACAGTAGCTAAATTATGGAATCAATCCAGGTGCCTGTCACTGGAGGACTGGATTAAGAAATCATCCCAGGGGCTGGGGTTGTGGCTCAGCAGTAGAGCGCTCACCTCGCACGTGCAAGACCTTGGGTTCGAGCTTCAGCACCACATAAAAATAAATAAGTGAAATAAAGGTATTGTGTGTCCAACTACAACTAAAAAATAAACATTAAAAAGAAATCATCCTATCTCTCTACCTATCTATCTATCTATACATACACAGAGTTCTACTCAGCTATAAAAATAATGAAATTGTGGCATTTGCCGGTACACAGATAGAAATGGAGAACATCATGCAAAGTGAAATAAGCCAAACTCAGAAAATCAAAAATCAAATGCTTTCTCTCATATGCAGAAGCTAGAGTAAAATAAAGAAGGAGGAAAGGATAGGATAACAAAGAACCAATCAAATATAAATTAATAGGCAAGTGAAAGAAAGGTCTAGTAGAGAAGGAGAAGTGGGGGAGGACAGGGAGGGAAAAGGGGAGCTCATGAGCTGAAATCAATTTCCATGCATGTGTGAGTCTGTTGGGATGGACCCAACGACTACATATAACTATAAAGCTCTAATATAAAAAAATCTCCACCAAAGTTGTGTTCCTCGCCATTTCTACATTTACATATAGGTTTTGTTAGGTTATTTAAGGCATATATTGACAATTTAGCTTGAAAATCTACATTTCTGTTTAAAACTTGAAGTTTTAGCCTTTTTATATATGTGTGGTAGGAGTACTTTGTATTACGTAATTTACAATATATTCTTTTAATTAAGTTTATTCAAACCATTTTCTTTGACTAAATTACACTTTATTTCATCTAGGGCTTAAAGTAAAAAATGATGATTCTATGTACAATTAGAGTCACAATGTCAATTACTTAAGACATTTTTCTTGAGTCAAAAGGGATACTCTGTTATTTTCTGAGTACCCCAGGTAACTGGTCAGTCTGCTAAACTCTACAGATTAAATACCTTCACGGGCCTGTTCATCAAGTAATCAAAGTATTTATAACACCCCATGACACTGTCAGTTCAACAAACCTATCAACTTACATAAATATTTAACAGGAGGAGATATTCAAATACTAGTACTTATACATAAACACCTTATCAAAAAATACATTTAAAAGACTTGCTTATAAATAGACAAGGATTATAAAGTTCCTTTCCTATAACATTTTAAGACCCATGGACTTCTTTTATAGCAACAGAGCATTATCCAATCACAACTAAATAAAAGCTAACTACACAAAAATAGACAACAGAAAGCCACATTATTTGTTACTACTGAAATTCACAGTATCAATCCTCAAAATTCTTTTAAACAACAACATTTAACTATAACTCAGTTCTCTAGGCTTAGGGAATAGGTGAAATAAATGAAATATCCCCACTCCCATGCCCTCAGCTTTGAGCTTACAATATACAGAATAAAAGAAGAGCGAATGAAAGAGGCTCAAGTTAGTAGATACTGAACTCATGAACCTGGAGACGGAAGCTGCTAAGAGTGGCATGCAATCAGCAATCCAGAGTGTCTTTCTACTCTTTCCTCCTGGTCCCAGACACCATGATCCTGCCCAGATGAGGGATATCTGAACACAACACCTGGCAGAGTTTCTGACACCTACACATCTGAGAAGAGTTGTTTTCAAGTAAAAATGACCTTTTTTTGATTCAGAAAGCTGGGGCCTTGCAGGACTCGTATAAATTTTAGGTCCTACCAAGTACTAACTATATTCTTATAATCATGCTTCCACTTCATATCTAAGGAATAAGAAATATCAGAAAGCTTAAAGTGCTAGTATTCGTGCATTGAAAAACTCAGATTTCCTGAGAAAGTGACTCGCCAATAAAGAGGTACAAACTGGGCGCCTTAATCCCAGCAACTCAGGAGGCTGAAGCAGGAGGATCACAAATTCAGGCCAGCCTCATCAACTAGGCGAGGCTCTGTCTCAAAATAAAAAGGACCAGGGGTCAGCTCAGTGGTAAAGTGTCCTTGGGTTCAATCCCCAGTACCAAAAGAAATTAAAAATTTAAAATACAGAGGTACAAGAAGTCATGAAACCTGGGATTTTATTCACTGTGATATCCATCTTGGTCTCCATGCCACAGGCCGTGTGCTGCGCACTGAGATGTAACAAGGCCTCCTGTCAACTCCAGCACCCAAGCCCCACGGGGGGTCAGAATGGATGGCCTTCCCCTTGGGTGGTAGATGGTGTTCTAATGAGAGGAACTAGTTACCACTGCCTGGAGATGCTGTCCTCCTTCCATCAGTTCCTCTGTCAGAGTCTATAGTTAATATTAAGGATAAAAACAACTATAAATGGATTATTTTGATGGTGCTAATGGCTTGGTCACTATGTAAGGCCAAGTCCTCATGAGGGATGAAAAAAGAAGAGAGGTTCCCAAGGAAGCCGTGACAATAAGTTTCAAACACCCATTGGGATTTGGACAGGCACAGGTACTTTTCCAAACTCTTCAAAAAAAATACCAACAACCACATTCACCATCCTTCATTCAGCACGGAGCCTCGGCCATCACCAAGTGCCCTTCGGTGCTGTAAACTAAAGTAACAGTGGCACTGCTTTCCAGCAGGATTATTTTACAGACATGAAAACAGATGAAATTCTCCCCTAAACAAAAAGTTAGGACACCTTGACACCCATTCACCTCCACCAGGCCTCCTCAGACTGAAAAGGCGGGTGTTCAGTGAAGCAAACAACTGTTGAATAATTCCTCTGACCTGAAGAATGAGAACGAAGTAGTCTACAGGTCTGTTGCGCTGGTAGAGGTAGTACTCTGGGGCTTTCTTGTTCTTCTCATCATACTTCAGTTCCTGGATGACATTGGGGTGCTTTAGCAGCCTTAGAAGGATCTTCTCTGACATCTGGGATGGGCTAAATGCTTCTACTTCTATAGACATAAACACAACTTGACATTACACTTCAAATGGGCGGAAAAGATCATGCTAGTAATTAAGGTGTTCAGATAGCAAGAATACTTGGCATCAAAGTGATACAACATGGGTGAACAAGGCTTCCGTCTGGTGATCCACTGGGGACAGATTACCTGGGAGAAATTAGAAAATGCTCAATTCTCAGGTTTGTTCCTTTTTAATCTTTCCTTTTCACCCTGTCATTGGGTTCGGTCTCATAAAAATGCCCTATGTTTCTGACATGGAAATGAAAACCCATCAGCAGCAGGCTCCTTGAGCGCCAGGAGACCTCCAACAAGCAGGACAACCAGACTGTCCAACGACAGCGGGAGGAGGAAGCCAAGGTCGGGCAGCGCCGAGGCGTGGGTTAGTACCGGTGCAGACACGGGCTCCCCTCCACTTTCCCGCGCAACTATCCTGCGATTCCGGGGACCACGGAGGGAGAGAGTCGGAATAAAAGCAAGGCCGTGCACACATCAACATGCACTCCAACTTGCCAACAACCAAAAAAAAGTAATGTTGGTCAGCACTGACAGAGATAGGAGCTTTCTTTAAAATAACAAATGTCCAAATTACTGACTTGAGGGCGCTATTCCTGAAACTGGACTTTATGGTTTCTCAGAGGCAGAGTAGGATAACATTCAGCTTTAACATGTGGTTCTTAAATGATGAGGACAATATTATCGGAATTAGAAGAAGAATAATAAGCAAGTTAAAGATATTGTTTTATTTTTATTTTTTAAAAATTAGACGCTATATATGAGCTATAAATTCTGTATTCACTTCTGTGACTTTTTGGTAATAAAAAATACATAGCAGAAAATTTGGAAAATAGAGAAAAAGAGAAGAAAATAAAAATTATCTATAAGCCAACTACTTCGATAACCATTCAGAGCAATTTGGTGAGTATTTCTTTCCAGTGCTTTGCCTAGGCATGTATGCCTGTGTACGCGTGTCTGTGTACCACAGAAACACAACTGTGATCTTAATGTACACATAGCTTTAGGTCCTGTTTTTTCCCTCTTTACATTAAAGTCATGGACACCTTCCCATGTCATAAATGAGACTGTGAGCACTTCCATGTATCTGAAAGCGTAGGTAGCATTCCGCCACGTGGTTGTTGTTGGCCTTCTTTTCAAAATATTTTAAGTATACTGCATGCAGTTGAAAGGTACTGGCTGCCCATCTTGGAAACAGACGTCTTCTACAAGCCTCTGGGTACTTTCACATTTTCTCACACTTCCCCTGGCCAACAGAGCTCACCCTTCACCTAGGGAGCCATGTGGGGATGTGAGAGGGTTAGTCAGTCTCTTAAGTCCATTCAACCTTGACCTCTCGGGAGCAGTCAGTGCCGGCTGGGTTGGTGGCTTTAATAATGTGAACACTTGCCTCCTGGAATGGGCCCAAGTTAACAATCTGATTTGAAGAGGCCACCAAGAAATCCATGTCAAAGTCCTTAGAATTTCTGATTTCATCAAAACCATAAAAGATAGAGATTTAAGTCTGAGAACCTATGTTTCTTCTTTGCAAATCATAGCACCTGGGTTACCACTGATGTCCAACTGTTCTTCCAAGGCAAGCTGAAGAGAGAATTACTCAACTGTCCAATCAAACGAGCTGTGTCTGGTTTGCACTGTCAGCCTACTCCGCCAGCTGGCTGGCCCATGGACTTAGCTGGAAGGAGATGGCCTGGCCTACTGAACACATGCAGTGTGGCACTGACATTCATCCTTACCTTTCAGACCAATTTTAAGTTACTGGTCCACCCCTGGTAAATGTCTCAGAGGGTTCATGCCGACACTGAACACAGGAGAGGAGAGAATTTAAAGAGAAAAAAACAAAACAAAACAAAAAAACAAAAAAAAACAAAAAACAAAACACAAAAGTGGCATTACTTATCACCCCATTTCCCAGTCTCCACCCCCAGCCCCCCACTCAGTGCTGGTGAGAAACGGCTCCAGGGCTGGCAGCGATCTCAAACTGTGATAAGCGCACTTGCCTGTTGCTAGGAAACGGTGCATGGCCAGGAGAAGCTGCGGTGATATTTTAACCTTCATCTCGCTGTCTGTCTGCTTAAAGGCAGAAAAATCTTGCTTTCTTTCACGGTGGGCCACTTTCTTTTTCGTTCTGTTATCGGCTGAGGGAGGAATGAGAAAAGAAGGAAAATAAGAAAATTCAGTCTTTTAGAACAGGGATCTTTTCAGATGGAAGAGTCAAAGCACACCGAGAGGCCAGCCCCTGCAGGAGCGGCTCTAGGCTCCAAACACCACGCAGGAGCAAGGGGCAAAGTCCCACCAAGTTGGCCTGGAGCACAGCCACCACATCAGACCTCAAGAAGGTCGTCAGAGAGCCCTTATGTCAGACATGACGGGGCAGACAGGCATGCATGGCCTCCTGCGACTCAATGTCACCATACTCCAGTGAAGAACTGCCACCTGGACACACACAAGGGACACTGTCTCTGCCCTTAAGAGGCTGCCTCGCCCCAGAAGAAAGAAAATAACATACAAACAAAATCCCTCAGGAAACAAGAAAGCATTCACAAAACACTATTTTAATCAATATCTTTTGACTTCACTTCTACCACATGCCATGATTTCCTCAAGGTCAAGTGAACATGAAGAAGGTGATCCAGAACAGGGCCGAGCAAGCCTCCCCTGGAAAGGGGCAGGGAGTGCAGACCTGGGGCCCCGTGGGCTATACAGCTTCTGTTACACGATCCACACTGCTGTACAGCAAATGAATGAGCACAGCTGGATGCCAACAACATTTCAATTATGGACACAGAAATTTGAATTTCATTTAATTTCCTCATCACAAAGTAATTATTCTTTACTTTTTCTTTCAACCTAAAAATGTGAAAAGCCCTTCTTAGCTTGCAGACTATACAAAAATAGGTGACAGGCAATCATGAGCTATAGCTTGCCAACCCCAATCTAGAAGGCATTTTATGCCAAATTATTTTTTAAATTTTTTTCTCTGGACAAAGTAATGATCAAGGGGGAAAAAAAAAACTGGCTTAAAGACAAGACCCTAATTTCTTGCTCCATCTCCAAGAACCATGAGTCACTGCATTGTCACTTCCTGCGCAGGGCTAGACAGACTGATTACAAGGCTTTTCGTGGGGAGAAGGCAATCGCATCTTATATGCTTTTCTTCTGTCTCAAATTCTTCTGAAAACCAGACATTATAGATCAACAATATACCTGAAATCACAAGTTCAGCCCTGAGTACCATGCTGGGTACAAGTACTGTAATGGGAAGGACCACTTCTGTAGGAAAGGAGTCCAATCCCAGATAAAAGAAGTTCAACTAACATTTCTATTAAACCAAAGTAGGTGAGATCTCATAAACACTGTAAGTTGTCTTTCTAATGACAAGAGGTTCCCTGGGAAAACACATAAGCATTCAGAGACACACTTGGTATTCATCAGCAAATTGGAAGGCAGGATGAAAAGAATGTAAACACGCAAATAACAACATTCTCTATTATGAGGCCTTGACTACCTTCCAAGTGTCAAAAGGATAAAGCAGATGTGGGAAAGTGTTTTCAAGAACTCTATACAGGTTATCAAGGATGGTGGAATGTGACGGACATCATTATCCAAAGTACATGTATGAAGACACGAGTTGGTGTTAACATACTTTACATACAACCAGAGATATGAAAAATTGTGTTCTATATGTATAACAAGAATTGTAATGCATTCTGCTGTCATTTATTTAAAAAAATCAATTTAAAAAAGAACTCTATACAGTCATTTATGTATGATGTGTCAAAATGAATTCTACTGCCATGTATAACTAATTAGAAGAAATTTAAAAAGTAATAAAATGTATGGTTAAGGCCAGGAAAAAGAAAAAAACCAAAACTCTGCACAGATGTGAAGGGAAAAATGGGTGCATTTTCAGAAGATGATGCCTCAACCCACTGGGCAGTTCATGTCCCCCTCCAAGCCACGTTTCAGAGCCAAGAGAATAAATAGAGCTAGATGTTCTCTCTACCCCATCCCAAGAACCCCCAACCTCTTAGGCCTTAGGACCTCTTTGGCAATGACTCCTGTAAGACTGTCCCATTGCTAAGAGTGGGATGGGATGTCCTCTGTCCAGCAATTCAGTTGTACACTTGAATGAGACAGGAAGCAAGTGCAACACTTAGCCCAGGGTCAAGTCCAATGTCTGGACAAACAAGTTATGAATATTTTCCTACCCCTCCTGCTCTGATCTAAGCCCAAGGATCCTGAAACATAGAAATCTAATCAGCTATCACCCATCAATTTAACAAACCCTATTCACTTTTGAAATACATGAATTATAAGCTTAAGAAGAAACTGAAATTCATTTGAAAACAATTTGCCCAGGTGTATAAAATGAAAATTAAGAACAATGTAAAATACATTTGAAAACCAAGAGCAGAATTTCCTGTTTGGGGCAAGCAACATGCAGATTAATGGTCAAGAGAAGCTGGCTTTTCAAAGAACATTGCCACTCATCATTACAGAATTTGTCTCTTCTTCCCCCTTGATAAAGGGATGGGAATACACTGAGAGGTTGTACCCAGCCTACACACATCATGCTTAAGTATAAACAGAGGCGGACAACGTGGGAGAAGAAATGTCAGATGACTCACAAACAGCATGACAGAAAAAGCAATGGTTTTAGGAAATTACACTCAGATGATTCTACTCACTGTATAAATCTGTTTCATCTAGAATCTCAGATTTGATGATTTCTTCAATCACATCTTCTAAGGTGACAATTCCCAGAACTTCATAAAATGGATCCCCTTCTCCCTCATTGTTCACCCGCTGCACAATAGCCAGGTGAGATTTACCTTTAGAGAAGAGAAAAGAAAAAGTTGAAGGGCTGATTTTTGAGATTCCCTGAATGACATCTTATATGTGATTATTGTAAAAATGGTAGCAAATCTTTTGCAGCAAAAATGTCATACCAAATTATCAAAGTCTGTATTTCTGTACTTGAAATTGGTGTGGAAACAAATGGAAAAGCTTCCCGAATCACTGAAAACATTAAGGTGGGACCGGTTTTGCACACACAGTCCTGCGACACAGTCCTCTGCTCACTCAGGGATGTGTCTTCAGCGCTGGCAGCTCCTCCTCCGGAAAATCTTACAAACTGTCACTCGAACAGAGCAGTTGTCTCTAAGTGTGGTCTGTGGACCTCCTAAAGGGTCCTCAAGACCCTTTGGAGGTTGATGAGGTCAAACTATTTTCCTAAGAATATTAAAATGTCATAGGCCTTTTCCCCTCTTTTTATACTTGAATCAATGGCACAGAGGCACCTTGCTTAGCCCAGAGCCAAGCCACGGGAGTCCCCGGCACAAGTGAAAACTACTCACCGCGATATGCTTCAAGAGGACAAAGAGTTCATTTCTCTTAAGAATGTTCTAAATAAAGCAATACACATATTTACTCCATTAGATCTTGACCCTGAGTACACCTCTTTTAATATTCTACTTGACAAAATGGGAAGAATCATAAACATTCTGCTACATTCTGAAGTATAATACCTGCTTTGAGGGACAGCATCTGTGTGACTGCTGCCAGCAGAACCGGCCACAATTTTCTTTTCTTTTCTTTTTTTTTTTTTAGTGCTAGGGATGGAACCCAGGGCCTTGCTCATGCCAGGCAAGTGGTCTACCACTGAGCTAACCCCTCAGCCCAAGTCACTTTTTTATCGAATGCCATTTTTACTTAAAAGAATGACTGTCAGACAAATTATGGTTATTTAGGTGTATTTGGGAGACATTTTTGCAAAAATGAATAAAATGATCATGTCACATCAAGGAAAGTCATGGGCAGTGCTTGCTGTCAGTGATTAAAAACTGAGATTTCAACAAAAAAACAGAATTTTTTTTTATCCACCACTAGGAAGCTTGGCAGCTTCTCAGTAAAGATTTTTTTTTTAAATGGGACAGGTGATGATATTAATGAATGCAACTTTTAAAATACTGAATAATGCATATGTGTGAACAGTTTGAAAAGCTGCATAACTCAGTGAACCAGTATTTTTTGTGACTATGACAATGATATTACAAAATCACACTTAGATAAATGATCTGCTCCAAGTGCAAGACAGAACAATGGGACTTTTTTAAAAAAAAAGAAATAATTTTAGATTTGCAGAAAAGTTGCAAGGGTAGGAGAGAGTTCCTATGGACTTTTCACCCAGTTTCTCTACTGTTACATCTTGTATAAGCCATTAACTATTTGTCACTGTATTTTAGCCATTAACTATTTAAAAAATTTGACATTGACATGTTGCTATTAAATTAACTCCAGACTCTATTTGGATTTTACTTTTTTCCAAAAAATGTTTTTTCTCTGTTTCATTGTCCAGTCCAGAGTACTGGGTTGCATCTAGTTGTCATGGCTCCCAGTTTCATCTGGTCTATGACAGCTTCTCAATCTTCCCTTGTTTTTTATAACATTGACAATCTTGTGTGTGTGTGTGTGTGTGTGTGTGTGGAGAGGTAGGGTACTGGGGGACTGAACCCAGGGACCATTTGCCACTGAGCCACATCCCTGGACCTTTTCATTTTTGATACAGGGTCTTGCTAAATTGCTGAGACTGGCCTTGAACTTGCATCAGTCTCCTGAGTCACTGAGATTATACCTGTGCACCACCACTCCCAGCTGATATTAACAATCTTAAGAAGTTCTGGTTGGGTCTCAGGTTTGTCTGATGTTTTTCTCATGATTAGATTAGATTGTGTCACTCCATCACAGAAGGGGTTACCAGATACTCTCATGACATGGTTGATGATGTTCTCCTTCATCATTTGGTTAAAGTAGTGCTTCCCAGGTTTCCTCATGATAAAGTCACTCATTTGCTCTAATTCTATTTTTAGAAACAAGTCACCAAGTCACTAAGTCAAATCTGTCCCTCAAGGGAGGGGTGAGGAAGAGTAATTGACCTCTACTTCCTGGAGTAGGGGGGTATCTACATATATTATTATTTGGAGAGGAGTGTATCCACACACAATCTTGTGAAAAGAATATTTCAGCCAAAGAATTTTAATGGGACAGAGTATTGAAAGTCCATTGTTTTGATTTTAGATTCTATAATGCAATTACCTTTTTTTTGAGGGGTGAGGGCAGGTACAGGGGATTGAACTCATGGGCACTCAACCACTGAGCCACATCCCCAGCCCTATTTTGTGTTTTATTTAGAGACAGGACTCACTGAGTTGCTTAATGTGTCGCCTTGCTGAGGCTGGCCTGGAACTTGCGATTCTGCACCCCGCCCAGCCCCCCAGCCTCCTGAGCCTCTGGGATTGCACACAGGCTTCCCTGCTCCTGGTAACTCTTATTTTGTACATGTTTTTCCCAAAAGGTATGCATATACCTTTTAAGGAACTAGCACTTTTGGAATTTTGATGAACTCAAAGGAGAGTAGCTATAACTATCCAAAAAGGCACTTAAAACACATATCTTTCCCAAATATATACCTGTGTGAAGTCAAATTTTCTTCATATATTTCAACTAAACACAATATTGCACAGGCTAAATGTGGAAGGTTATGAGAACCCAGCTGCCTTCGGTTTAGCTAGATAACACATGCAAAAAAGGTAAACATGGACATGCTTCTTACTCTTTTTGTTTTGGAGAATATGATTATTTTTAATAAAAATGTTAGTTATGTCAACATTCAATAGATTCATGTCCTTTAAAATGAGTTAATGATGGGGGACGAGCTCAACAATAGAGCACCTGCCTAGCACATGTGAGTTCCTGGGTTCCATCCTTAACCCCCATAAAAAGTTAATAAGTTAATGTTTTAAATTTCCATTTTATTTCAAGTGCCATAAATATCAAAAGATATAATCAACATGAACAAAAGTTCAAGGGTTCTTAATAATTTTTAAGAGCTTAAAAGGATTCTAAGACAACAAAGTTTAAGAATTGTTGCACCAGAGGATGACAGAGGGCAAGGGAAGAACATGAGCTCCCGAGTTTAATAAGCCTTGAGTTTGAACTCCACTCATTAGCCATCACTAGCCAGATGACCACAAGCAAACTATGGAACATTTCTTTCTTTATTTTTTTTAACTTATTTTTAAAATATTTTTTAGTTGTTGATGGACTTTTATTTTTACTTATTTGTGTGTGGTGCTGAGAATCGAACCCAGTGCCTCACACATGCTAGGCAGGCGCACTACCGCTGAGCCACAACCCCAGCACCCCCCCCCCCACTATGACACATTTCTAAGCTTCTTTGAAACAGGCTCATGCTAACTGCCACGGCACAGGGCTGTTGTGAAGATCAGAGATAACGTTGTTAACCAGCAAAGTTGTTCCTGGAATCAATCATGGAGCCATCAATAAGTGGTAACTCTTTTTTTTTAAATATATTTTTAGTTGTAGATGGACACAATACCTTTATTTATTTTTATGTGATGCTGAGTTTTGAACCAGTGTCTCCTGTATGCAAGGCAAGTGATCTACCACAGAGCTACAACCCCAGTCCTGGTAACTCTTATTTTGTACATGTTTTTCCCAATTGTAAGACACCATACACTTATTACCAGATTAGATATAGGAGGGGAAACCCACCACATTAAACAAGCAGAGTTTGTTGATGAGAAGAGGCATTTCAATTTCAGAAAAATCTTTTAAAATAAAATAGTAAAACACATTTCTCAAACACAAATATTGGTTTAATCCATCCATGGCACATAAAACATATCCTTAGCTTAAGCCAATGAAGACATGATCTGGAAAGTTCACAATTACTTTTTAAATGACAGAGGGCGGTGCTTCACTAAAGCTCAATGAACCCTTCTGAGGTGGGTAAATTCATGCAGACACAACCAGTCAAACAAACTAGAATTACTCTCTAAAGGCCAGGTCTGATCACGTTCCTAACCCAGACTTAGGCACCAGCTTTGCTTATGGGTTGGTTTGTACTTTCTTTCCTCAGTGGTCTACGTTTCTGCCCTGCCTCAGACCTCTGTACAGACAAGCACAGTCTGCTGGCCTAGAAACTGGACTGTTAGGCCATCCGTGTCCGGCATCCTAGCAATTTTCATCCCTAGCTTGCTCACACTCTAAGAATGAAAATATTTTGAGCAAAGGAGACTCAGAGGGAAACTTATCAGCAACAGATATAAACCCTGCACCAGGTCAAGTCAACTCTCATCTAGTCAATTTGGTCCAGTAGGTTTCTCACATCTGCCTTCCCAGGGACCCAACATAAGCAGTTAAAAATTCTTGGTAAATGCTGTCTGTCGAAAGTTAAATTCTTTTGCTATTCCCAGCTTGTGATCATTTAAAAGGAATTTTCCAAAGCAAGGTCTAATATTAGACTCAAAATGAAGTTTCCATTCCACTGAGGCGCTATTCTCACCAAAGTAACTACCGCATAATCAGATTGTCTTGGAGCAATTCGTTTAAATGCAGATGGACATACTTGAAATACCAGCTCAATAGCACCAACAGATCTGGAAAGGTCTTACACCGGGAGAAATCATTCATGTGAATTAGGCTTCTTAGATTGAAAAATTAGTAAGTTTTCCTCCCAGCTCACTTGTAGCCATTCACACCCTCTCCTCAAATTTGAAACTTCTTGGGCCCCCCAAACCACACACTTTCAGTTTTGGGATTCTTCTTGAGAATTTGTTTTCTGAACCTACTTCCTGGTACACACACACACACACACACACACACACACCCCTCCCAGACTTTTGAAGAAGAGTGATATGCACCATGTACCTGCCTCATTTAACCATTCACTGCAATGACCTGAGTCTTCAGACCTCATCCAGGAATTAATCAGAAGAAAAATGTAAACAACGTTCCAACACAGAAAACA